GTCTGGTTAGCAGGCAAGTGCCTTAGGCACTATGCTACCAGAGCTCCTCCTAGGCACTATGCTATATTATTTGATATATATTTAAAAAATCAAACTCACTGCCATGGAGTTAGATCAGACTCATAGCGAACTCTCCTTGGGTTTCCAAGGTGGTATCACTATGAAAGTAGAATGCCCAATCTTCCTTCCAAGGAGTGGTTGGTGGGTGTGAACGGCCAGCCTTCTGGTCACCAGTCAACTGCTTAGGCACTACACCACCCATTTGATACATAGAATTTATAATTTATCCAACACCAATTTTAACTCCAGTATGATTATTGGGCAGTCCACGATTTTTCTTTCCTGATTGAGACATCTGATTAGTCAGATTCTAAATTTAATATGTACTTGGAACTCTCTGGACTTTCTAATCAAGGTAATTAAAGTTATTATTTTTATTTTAGTATTTCATCGGAAGGCTGAGCCACCAATGTTTTCTTTTTCATTAGAATATGTTTTACATTATACATGGCATTAATATTAACATCAACCTAGTAGTACTTCTGTAGTTTTTAATAAGTTAATAAATATGATTCACCCATTAAAGAGTTTGACAGAGAATAAGTAAATAACAATAGTAATATTATAATAATAATAGCAATACTCCTTTAAACAAGTATTAAATTACAATGAATTTGATACCAATACAAAATCAAATGCTTCATACAATAATTTGGTATTTATATGTATATATTTATCTCATTTACATCATGTGAATATGATATTACTATTAAGAATAGGGATGAAAAAATAAAGACAGATATTTACTTCTATATAGCCATAATATTTCCAATCACCTTGTATGCATGTGAGACCTGGACAATGAATAAGAAAGACCAAAGAAGAGTTGATGCTTTTGAGTTGTGATGCTGGCAAAGAATGCTGTATGTACCATGGACCGCTAAAAGAACTAATAGATCTGTCGTGGAGGAAGTGCACCTGAAATGCTCCTTGGAAGCGAGAATGGCCAGACTTCGTCTCACCTGCTTTGGTCATGTTGTCAGAAAGGACCATTCCCTGGAGAAGGATGTCATGCTTGGTAGGGTGGAGGGTCGACGAAAGAGGGGAGGCCTTCAACGAGATGGATTGACACAGTGGCTGCGATGATAGGCTCAAGTATAGCAGGAATCATGAAGATGGCGTGGGATCCAGCAGTGTTTCGTTCTGCTGTGCAGGGGGTTGCTATGGGTCAGAAACAACTCGACAGCACCTAACAACAACAACAACATTTACTTCTAATTTGATATAGTTTCCTAAATTCACATCTTCACAAGAGCTGGATGAGGATATTGCATGTTTGGTAAAAAGTCAAGCTTAATTAATAGTTGCTGAAGAAATATCTATTCCCAGATGCTCTTAACTAGTGTAGTGTGAATCATATCAGTTCTTAATTTATTTAC